TTGATCGACGTTTCTGCATTCGGGACAGAGTAGTTGAGTCTTTCACCCTGTAATTTAAAAGCGCCGGTATTCTCGCCACCTGAACTTGATTCCGGATGACCTCCAAACAGTTTGCCCAAGTCCAAACTAAATGGTGGCATCCGTCAAACTCTGCTATGTTTGTAAGCGGTTGCCAGGACAATCCCGCAGCACATCCGCTGAACCAAAGGTTTCCGCGGCAAGCGTTGCAGGCGATCAATGACGGAGCGCCTGCGCCTGAGTGTCAATTTACGAACAGAAGCTCAGGATGGGCATGGGCGTTGCCCATAAGAATCGGTTCGTCTTTGGGTTTCTCTTTTGGGTACCAACGAAAAGCAGTCCCATTTTGAGAGCCTCCCAAGTCGCCCAGAAGCTTGTATTGCCTAAAGGAAACTTAAGAAGTTTAGAGTTGCTGGTTCTTTTTTGTTTTCCTTGAACACCAACCACAAAGTCCTTTTAAATCCTAAGAAGGGGGTCCACCTAAGTTTAGAAACACGCGCTTGGGCAAGACAAGCTCAAGTTGCGGAACAGATCAAAATTGGCATGCTCGCAGCATGGAGAACTTCCATGCTCTAAATATTAATTTGGCTGTGGCTCAAAAAAGTAGTACTTTAATTTTGAGCCATACCCATATATTGTTTATCCTTCATGGTGGACTTGCCGGGCCGGAACGCCTTTCTTTTGGTTGAATATTGGAGGCTTGCAACTGTGGGTGGTTTTCTCTGGTTTGGTTTGTGATCAGATTTTGGTTTGATATGTTCTCGTGATGTGCTTGTAACACTAAAGCAACCTTTCTACCTGTTGCACACTTGATGCGCCTTGCCACCATAAATTTAATGCGGGCACATTGGCTGATAAACAGGCGCCCCCGGAAGAAACATGCTGGTATCTCTATTTGGGATTCAGCGCTGTGCAAGATGCCTCAAACTTGGCTCTTCCAGGGGTCCCCATATTTCCCTGGGTAGTAGTCGGCCTCTCTCGGTTTGGACATACCGTGGTCGCACCACCTAAGAAACCCTGGATTGATGTCTTTCCCTGTAACTACCAACAAACAATGTGTGTCCTCCCATGGTTTCCAAGTGGTGCGGAGGGATTTCGTCCATCCACAGTAGGGAATTGTAATCGGACGCCTCCCGAGGATGGACGAGGCATGGTCGTTTCCGATGGGATCCGCGTGCGCCGAACTTCACGAGCCCAGCAATCCCAACGTGAATGAGTTGCGAGGTCCTCCAGTAGTGCCCTGAAAACCACTTTTTTGGGGGAGGGTTCCCCTACTAAAATAGACTACAGGAAAAAAGCGGCAGCTAACATGGAAGTGCGCAGACCCCTGTAGAAAGACTACTTTCCTCTTGGAAAGGACCTTTGTGCACTTGCATGTTAGTTTGTGGGAGGGTCGTTGCATCGATTTGCTGAAGAGGATTCTTTATTTTCCCCTTGGTTTGAAAGGGGATCTATCACTATTGCACATATTTGTTTATGTTTTCCAGGGGGCTTAAGCAAATGGAGGTATCCATCATACGTGTAATGCTATGCATCACATCATTATATGCTGTTATGTATTTACTGTATGCAGACAGACAGGCACAATGTCATCAATCTTCCAGCAACCAGAGTGTCGCCAAGAGATGATCGGGTCGATGCGGGGCGTTCTCGCACGCAAATGGTAAACTCCGGATCTAAAAGTATGTCCTTTTGCCGGTTTCATATGGATATGAGTTCAAATAAGGAGCCGCCTCAAAAGTGGTTGGTGGACAGGAGCATTGAATATCATGACCATAGTGTTGTCCTGGGTGACTAACAAGGTCCCTCACTTTGGCAAATTTCTATGAGCGGCTTCCAGGAGAGCGTCGCTCTCAACTTAGCAGTTTAAAGTCAGCAAGCCCGCTCGTTTCTGATGCTCCAAAATGCTTGGCGTCCTTTTTCGGGAGGCCATCCAAAGCATTGCCCATGAGGCCCTTTGTCAGATAGGCCTTTCTTGGTCCGCTTTAAAGTCGACCCGAACTGACAATGGTGTCTCAACGGGGGACCATAGGGGGTGCTATGCTTGACCCCACCCATTTGAGTGAGTTACGCCGTTTCAGATCTTGCATCCGTGGAAGGAATATTCCAGCTCTCAGGATGTAATTGGTATCTTTGAGAGCATGTGTTTATTTGCGCCCTTGGCCGCACATGAGAACATGTCGCTTTTTGATATGGGCTTCAAACAAGCCCAGCAGGAACCCGCCCACGTGGCATTCAGAGCAGGGTCTTTTTTGTCACTCCTTGCAAGTTCAATGTGGAGCGAGCCAATGCAAAGGTCAGGGTGGCTTACAGCCCAACGCACGCCTAGACGATGCGGTCATTGGCCTACGACCCAATTCCCCACTCCAACTAGGCCTGCTCAATTGTCCCACGTCCAAGGCACGCATGCAAATAGCATCATGGCACTGAGAATGTGCTAATGTTGACATTGCATGGTTGTAATATAATTTGATTCTGAAAAAGCCTTGCTGTCATTCAAAGAGAAACCAGGAAGCCAATGGCATCGATTCCTGGCAGCGCCCCTTGCCAAGCCTCGCAGGTGAAGAAACCCAGTGCGGGACTCAGGTCGTGTATCAACTTTGAGACTCGGGTGAACATCCGAAGCCAAGTAAATGGGGTGTGCGTTTTTTGGTGGGTACCCTTTTTGTTTTTTGTGTGAAGGGAAATCAAAAGGAAGAACACAATGTTTGGGGGTGACCCTTCGTGGCAGGAAAAGGGCACGGCCATATTTGCTGTGCCAGGCCGGCGCCCGTACAAGATGGGACGAATCTACAAGTTTTTGCGTCTCAGGTTCGTGTTTGGCAACTTGACACCCAGAGGAACCTACGCCATGAAGGTGGATGTTCGCTTGCCCAGCGCCAGCGGAGATGGATACTCCGTAGAAGTCTCACCAGAGACGCCCATCACATCAGCGATCTGAAGGCTGCAGCGCAGCAGCGGCTTGAAGCTCACCGCGAAAGGCCGACAGCTCGATTTGACGGCTACGTTGAGTGAGGCTTGCGAGATGGGGATGTGGTGGATGCGGTTGTGAACCTTGGCAAACTGGCTGCCAATATGAAGGCATTCGCTTGGCATGGCCAGGGGGGCAAGGTTGTCACCTGGGGTGATCCAAACTGGGGCGGAGACAGCAGCAGGCAAGAGCAGTTGAGCGACGTCCAGCACGTCCAAGCAACTCAAGGCGCCTTTGCTGCTATTCTCGAATCTAGAGATGTCGTGACCTGGGTTCGTGCAGACTACGGCGGAGACAGCAGCCAGGTGCAAGACCAGCTGAGGAACGTCAAGCACGTCCAAGCAACTCACCATGCTTTTGCTGCCGTTCTTGAATCTGGGGATGTTGTGACCTGGGGTCGTGCAGAATACGGCGGAGACAGCAGCCAGGTGCAAGACCAGTTGAGGGACGTCCAGCACATCCAAGCGACTTGCTATGCCTTTGCATTCTTGAATCTGGGGCGGTTGTGACCTGGGGGCCCGCAGAGTCTGCCGGGGACAGCAGCCTGGTGCAAGAGCAGCTGAGGAACGTGCAGAACATCCAAGCAACAGGCGGTGCTTTTGCTGCCATTCTTGAATCTGGGGCTGTTGTGACCTGGGGTATTTTCAGCAGCCAGGTGCAAGAACAACTGAGGAACGTCCGGGACATGCATGCAACTGGGGCTGCTTTTGCTGCCATTCTTGAATCTGGGGCTGTTGTGACCTGGGGTCGTGCAGAATACGGCGGAGACAGCAGCCAGGTGCAAGACCAGCTGAGATTGAATCTGGGGCTGTTAGGGCCTGTTACAGATCGAGCTGCCGAAGCGCAGATCGGTCACATGATTTGAAGATGGCGAGTGTAAGCTTCGGCAGAGTACAGAGCAGCACGACCGCCAATTTGGGCGCAGCTAGTTGATTCCGGCGAGCAGAAGCAAGATGGAAGAAAGCTAAAATGTTTAACCCCGGCCCCGATTCGCAAACTCCTGGTGCTTGCTATAGGGGTGTCGCTCATGACTTTTGGAGGCAGCACCCCCCTCTTAGGATGGTTTATTAATTCTACCGGTCCTTGTTAGCACCCGTCCTGCAATAAGATTGCTTTTCAAGGTGTAGGTTGGTTGGGCAGGGTCTCCTTGAAACATGAACTTGACATGTGCATGGTCTGCAGCCTTAAATCCTCAGCTGCAGAGCCTCACTTTTCTTGTTTTGGAGCTATGGAGCCTGCGCTTGAGGATCTTTGTCGGCACCTGGGCTCTACTGCACGAGCTTGGCTCATGGATAGCGGCATCCGCACTGAGTCCGATGTGCGCTGGTTTTGGAAGTGCCAAAGCGACTGCCTGTGTGAGCGCTGGAGTCTGTGCCTGGCATTTCGCGTCAGGATGTGTTGCACATGCAGACACTCTTTGACGTATGCAGTGCTCGTGCTGATCTGCACCAGGTTACCGCAGTCAAACAGCGTCAGGTGCGTGCATCCACTCCTGCTGCAGCTGCCCGACGTGGGTCACAAGACAGTGCGGGAGCTTTTCCAATCAGCCGCCACTTTTCATAGCTTGGGGAGATGAGAAGCAGGTTTCTGTGGCTGAAGCCCTTGTCATGAGTTCTGCTGCGCAGGCCAGCCCGGAACACCTGGCTCCGGTGACGTCAAGCTTGAAGCGTTGGATAAACATTGCACAGGCTTGCAACGCTTTGATCGATGACCCTGGGCCTGCGCAGTTGGCTATGTTCCTGCGCCAGGTTTCTTTCGGAGGCCCCACAGCGGCCAGTTCAGTATTTCATGCTTTGTTGTGGCGCAACAAGCATTTGGGGGCCCGTTTTCCTTTGCATCACTTTTTGGTGCAGCCGTGCCGTTGCCATCACCTTGGCCACAAGTCGCGCCAAGCGCCTGAGCTTCAGCCATGGGAGCTACTAAACTTGCTGGCTGTGACTCGGGAGTTAACGGGGACAGTGCAGGTCGCAGGGCTTTTCGTGATTTCTTCCTCAGTTGCGTGCATCCGCTTTGAGCACTTTCAGCGCTCCCACGCATGCGTGCAGGGCAAGCGCCGTGTACAGCCAAGACTGTGGCCTTGAAGACCTTGGAGGATCTTGACGGAAGCTCCCTTGGCCCAGCTTCAGCAGTCGTGGGAGCGCGCCTATACAACATTGTGCTGGACCCACACCTAGAACCTTCTGACGCACTCCGGGGCCGAGTGTGGCGTGAGTTTGCGAAGCGCACGATGTCTGTGATAGAGGCGAAGAAGATCAAGAGCCTTCTCGCTCAGAGCGCGCCAGTGTCCAGCGAGACGGTGAAGCTTCAGGATTCTTCGCGGGGTGCTATCTCACTGTCCTTTGCGCGAGAGCCAGATGCTCAGATCAAGGATGTTGCGTCGTACTACTTCGCGCTGCGAATGCTCTTGAACTGCTGGGCTTTCTGCGGGATTTTTCTTGCAAAGACACGGATGGCGTTGAGCGCAAGTTCATCAATCTCAGTCAGAGTTGGCTTCAGCGGAATGATGTGCTTACAAGGGGGAAGATGGCGTCCAAGGTCCGGCGAGCCGGCCGCGCTCTCCAAGAGGCTCTTGCCGAATGTTACCTCGAATGACGTGCTCCGGCGCTGATGGTGTCCCCCAGAAGTGGCAGGTGAGCTTTGAGGATGAAGCCCCGCTTCGCCAGGCTAAGATGCCCCGCTTGTCCACTTGACGTCAGCATGCTGAAGGCTGGCATCGCAATTTGCAAGGGCTTCAATGACGTTGCCCCCACGTCTGTGACGTCAAGGATTGTGGCAGCAAGAGCCACACTAGGCTGCGTTTTGGAGGCTGCTGTTCCCCTGCCCCCACCCCCGCCACCCGCGGCGTGAGCCGTGAAGTTTGCATCCAGACGGCGGATCAGACGGTGCCTGTGTCAGCCTTGCCAGATCGCCTTCTCGCTGTACGGTGACATGGCTTGGGCGTCCCGGTGTGCGTCACCCTGCTCTCATTCAATGGTCTTGCAGTCGAGTGTGCCACCCACATGGGTTGTCGGCCCGTCCTCATGGATGCTGCCTGCTGTCGCTGGACCAGCAGCCGCCCTGGGCAGGGTCTCCTTGAAACATGAACTTGGTCTGCAGCCTTGGCTTAAATCCTCAGCTGCCGAGCCTCATTTTTTTTGCCCTCCCACCCTACCTTGATGTCCTCCGCGGACAGAAGGTTTCGGGTTTTATCCTCAAGTCTCTTGCAGGAGGCTGGGGCATATGGTCAGACAGTCATCGAACATGTCCTGACTTATGTTGCTGCTTTGGCTTCAGGTTTCTCTTTCGATGACCTGTGTCTCCCAGTGTCTTTGACGCTGTTCACACATTCCCTTTATTTCACACTCCCTCTCACTTGCCTCCTCTCTTCTACAGCACAGTCGATCCAGCGCAATTGCAAGTTCTCTTGCCATGTGTCGATGGGGCAGACATGGATCTTGGATGTCACAGGGAAGCTGCAATTGAACTTGCCACATGGGGCCAAGGGACCCACCCCACTTCAGGGCTCCTTGAAAGATACATTTTGCTCATTTGAAACATGTTTCTTTCCACCAAAATAAAGGGAAACCACCATTACAAGGCAATGTTCAGGCGTAAAATGCAAGGATCCCTGCATTTCAATCCGTTTATGTAGATCATTGGGCGCAGCTCAAGCCCGTATGGGTCACAGCAAAAAAGCAGTCCGAGGCGCTTACCACTCACTCTGCCAAGAAGACATCTTCTTTCAGATGTGGAGAGCCAATTGGGGTGTTGCTTTTGAGGGTACCCCCTTGTTTGCGGCCTTTAAAAGGAAACCAAGAGGAAAGCCAATATCTTTGGGGATCCTCTCATTTTTTTTACGCGAAAGCTGAACGTGTCCTGGCTTTGAGGTTCCCAAAAAGGGCGTGTAGGGTGCACTGTGGGCATTGTAGTGAAATCATGACTGGTTCAGTGAAGATGCGCATGGCTCTCTAATGATCAACGAGCGTTTGGTCAACCCTTCACTTGCATGATGTGTCGAAGCTTGAAGTAAAGGGGTCCACCAGTTTGAGAAACAATGTATGGCCCTTGTTGATGCCAAATTTGTGGGGCTGATGCTGACCATAGCGGCATGTGCGCGTACATGGAATGCAAGAGTTGACCACTCAACTGTCATCATAGATCGCATCGGGCACAAACCCGGTGAACTTCGAGTTGGGCTAAATTCGATGTCACGTTTCCTGGATGTTGACCCACCGGGCCTGAAACAATGTCTTCGTTTCCTGCCGCCTTTCAAGAGAGGACCCTAAAAGGTGCTTGTTGCTGTCAACCTGTGTGCTTGCTTGCTTGCTTGCTCGCTTGCTCGCTCGCTCGCTCGCTTCCTTGCTTGCTTGCTTGTTTGTCTGTTTCCGCGCAAAGGAATGCCCTCGCTGGACGAAAACCAGTGTCCAAGGTCGTCTCATCCAGCTTCGCTTTGAGGAGATCAAGGCGCCTCCGACCTCGCGGCCTGGCAAACAGCAGTTCCACGGAGAAAGTCCACTTCGCACCAGTCGGGATGGCTGGGGTTTTTCTAGCTGTTTTTATAGGGGTTGTCCATTCCAACGGGTGCAAAATGGATTTTGTCGATATGACCCCGTGTTGAAGCTTCTTCCAAGACATGTTCTGGCATTTTAAAGTGGCGGAGTGATGTTCAAAGTGGAGGCGTCATTTTGGTTGGACGACTGGGACTGGGATGTCAAGTCTTTGCAAGCAAGCCGGCCAGTGCTGAACTGGTAAACCTGCAAATGGGCGGCTGCAAGCAGAACGTTAAGGTAGGGCGGTTGATACTGAATCCCCCTACTGCACAGGGCCACGCTGCCCCGTGTGGCAGTTGAGGGTATCCCAAAAAGGTGACTTACCCAGTACGTGGCCCAGCCGACGTCTGGCTTTCCTGGAGGCTTTGGGGGAGGGGGAGTTTAAGTAAGCCCTAAAGGCCTTATCCTCCCTCCCCCCCAGCCCCCATGAGGCTTTGTTCAGAAGGGGCCCCCTGCAAATGATGGGGTTAGCATTGCTTTCCTCCAGAAGCCAACATGGACCCCCCATTGAAAAAGATATGAATTGGGATATGGACGGAACATGTTCAAGGACGCTTGGGCTGAACCCTGCTCCAGCACGGTTCAGTTGTTTGGGACATGGCGAAGCTCCCCAAGTTTCCCACGCAAGCCAGGGCGCTCACCCACTTTCGGATGCCCTCTCAGGGAAACAAGGAAAATTGCATTGCTCATGTCCAGCTAGCTCAAGGTTTTTCTGGCTCACGGGATCCTTTTTAGCGGTTCCACGGGCCAAACCTTCGGTAGAGGAGTTTGCAAAGTATCACCCGGAGTTGGGCGCATGTTCCGCTCATTTGATGGCAATTCAAAGACACTGGATACAAAGACCAGTCGTTTTTTGCAAGCTCACAGGATCAGGGAGATCAACACGACTCAGATTCAGGGGCTTCGTATTTTGGCCGTGGGTCAACACCAATGGTACCATTTTGGGGTAGGTGAATTCACCACCCATTGTAGTCTATTTAATGAGGATTGGGACGTTCACTGGGGGTACGATTTGGGTTTTGACCCATAGCCTTTTCCGGAGGTTTTTTCGTGAGTGGGGATTGGGATGTTCACAGGATATATGGGGTTTTGATTTTCCAGAGGGATTTTTTGTTTCTGGCCCTGGGCCGGAGCTCGGGATCTCGAGGTTCGACCAAAAGCGGCCGCCCCCCATTGGCGTGGTGAAGCACCCGCAGGGCGAGCGCGGCGAGCGCGGCGAGCGGGGCGATCGCTCACGCCAGGCGGGCGCGGGTGTTGTCTCTCGAGGAGAAGACGGAAACGTGGCGTTCTAGGGGTTGATTCCCTTTCCAAGCCACCAAGCTTTCGCAAGATGAGCTCTCCAAAGGGGGACAAATCTGGGTTGATTCCCTTTCCACAGGCCAAGCAAAACAGTTCTAGGGGTTCATTCCCCATTCTTTTCAAGCATGGTTCTTTTCAACATTCCGGATCTGTTTCCCCTGGGTTTTTGGTTTCCTGAAAAGAAGGATCCCTGGAAAGAATGGGGACGATCGCCCTAGAGTTGTTCTTTTTTCGCCAAACACTGGCGCCGGTTTTCAGGTCGGAGGCACTTTTTGATGAGTCGACAACACTTATGGCCAGGCCATGTCTGGCTGGGCAAATTGCTGTTGGCGAGGTTTACTTGTGAAGGAATCGACCAAAGCTAGGTATGACGACGGATGTTAAAAACGTTGCATGACGACGGATGTTACACACGTTACACATGCTAACATCAACTTCGACATGCGGAGCGCCAGAATGTCGACCCCGGATTAATTGATCAATCTGATGGGTTAAAAAGGGTCGCCCCCCAAAGTCGAAATGATCCTCTTCGAAAATGGGACACCCCTTATCAATCAAGCAGCCTATCATTTACATCACGCGTTCACACTATTTCGAGGTTGGCCTGAAACGTGTCACTTTCCAAAAAAGGGAACCACCGTAGAATCTAACGGGGTTCTTCATCCGAAGTGTCAATTGAAAAGCACCCCATGCTCAATGTTTGGTGTCTGTTTTACATCTCCAAGTCAGTATGTGTCCGTCTTTTATAGGGACCCCCAAACTGCTGGATTTTCCGCTTCCCTTTAGCACCTTCCAAAAAGGGGCTTTCCGCAAAAAGAACAGTGCAGTCGGGGCCCTTTTTGCCTGGCAACAGGGGCCGCTGTATGAGGCTTTGCCAATTGAATCGGAAGTCAACATGACTTGCTACAGCATGGGGTCCCTATATGCTCCTTGTTTGTGGTTTTAAACATCACCCTTTTGGTCAATTTAAGACATAAGTTTCCCTTTGCAAGATGATGGCTTTAGGTTGGACATGTGGGAACTCGATGGTTTTAGGTTGGACATGTAGGAACTCAATACAGTGCTTGAGGCTTCTGCGTGCGGCGCCTTTTTGTGGCCATGACTTTATGGAACCTCCGAACTGAAGTGGTTGGTGGACATGGGCTGCCGGTCCCCCGCGTTGTTGTTGATGCCCACCAAAGAGTGCCCAATTAAGAATCATAGGTGTCCTTTTTGGTGGTTTTGGTGGAAAAATAGATGGGTTTCGATTCCTGGTTCACCTGGTGGTTTCATCCTCCAGAGCCACGTGCTCAAAACTCGGGTAGATGAAGGTAAGGGGCAGTCCCGGCCAGAAATCGTTACGGAAATCCGCCTTCTAAATTCTTGAAGCATGGTTCTGGGTAGCCCATTTTTATACCGGGTTTTTGATTGTGACTCACCAGAGAGTGCACTTTTATGAATACTTCCCATGGCTGTCCGCTTTTCGCATGCCCAGTCCTACCACATTGAAGCCAAGGGCAACGAGGCGAGACGGGAGTCCGGAAGTTTGAGACAGCCATGGACACCTGGAAAAGGATTTTGTTTCAATGGATGACCAGACGGACAGCTTGCAGTTGGTTGAAAGTAAATGGCAGGATTCTCCCATCTTGGTTTGGTCATCCTTTGTACTTACATAAACGGAATCCTGCCACCCTGGTGTAATTGTGGATGTGTAAATCAGCTTCGCTTGCCCCACCTTTCATTGGAGATCTGCACAGTCACAGCGGAAAGTCTCGCATGCGCGGTTTCTTCGTGCCTTTGCTTTTTTTGCGCATGGGCCAAGCAAAACAGTTCTAGGGGTTGATTCTCCATTCTTTTCAACCATCGTTCTTTTTGAAAAACCGGCTGTTTCCCCCAGGTGTTTGATGGTTTCCTGAAAGAAGGATCCCTGGAAAGAATGGAAATGGAAGGTACCCCTGGAACAGTGCGTGCGCACGCCTCTTCGCTGAGCATCACAACCTAACTAGAGACTGCGCGACTGAGCACGCCGATTTGGCAACTTCCTGCATGCTGGTGTCGACAAAGCCGTGGCTTGGGGTGTCCGCAACTTGAGCAACCCTCTTTTGGACGGGGTTGAAATGGACACCAAAAGGAAACCAAAAGGAGACCAAATGGAGACCAAAAGGAGACCAAATGGAAACCAAAATGACAAAAGTTTACCCAAAGGCGACCAACCTTTCTTGATGGTTTCCAGGCTCAATCTTTGGGAATCATGGCCAAAGCAAGCTATGTTCTTAAGTGTGGTTTACCTTTCTTTCAACTTCTCTGCAAATATGTTGCCTATTCTTCGGA